TATATATTTCTTATATATCCTTATTTATTTATTATTTATCCTTATACATGTTCACATATAAAAGTGTTTACATATACAAGTGTAAAGTAAAATTTACACTTGGTAACTATGCTGTGGGCCTTTCTGTTAATCAGCACCACATCAGTGGCAGCTGTTAATTCCTGTTTTAAAGCTAATTAGGTGGGGAAATAATTTTTCAGGAGCGATGCTAAGAATTTAGTTAAGAGGCTCGGCAGAGTGGTTGCTTTCCCTGATTATGCTTCGCATAGTCTACCATGCAAAGGGGCAGTAATGATGAGTGAGGGAAGAAAGAGAATGTGAATGAGAAATTTCCTCACTGAAGCAGGCTCAGGATGTCGTTTGGGTAACCGGATGATTAGCACGGGGGTGACCAGATGGGTATTTGGGCTGATCAGCTTTGGAATTCAGATACCCGCACCATCATCTCAAAGACTGTTGTTGGGAAGCTGTCATATACTGGTTTTTGGATTTCCTGGTCTAATCAGGAGCTTACTGCCCTCTTAGCATTGGCCTATCACAGGGTAATAACCCCTGTGTAATTCAGTGCAGGGGGGACATGCTCCTGTCATATGTCCCATGTCAAGGAACGCATCAAGTTGCATCATTCACTTGTCCCATGTCAAGTCCCCTAGTGCCCTCCTGGTCTTCCTGCATTGTGACCAAATGCAGAGACCTGAATCATATTCCTGCATTTGTCAAGGAGGCTGTTTTGGGGTGTGGATCTTGCAAGCACCTGAGCGCCAGCCTGCCTGCACTGACGCAGCTGCAGGCACTCCCAGCCCATCTCGTCCATCGCCAAGCTTGAGATGTGCGCTATATCAGAGTGGGGACTCATATTTTCCAGTGTTATTGCCAAAGCCTTTAGCTAGGAGCCAGTCACAAATACAGTTATCATCCCTCTTAGAGTATGTTCTTCCCACAAAGAGCATACGGAGACATTACTTGGTGTGGAAAATGTCCACCACAAGGTGAACACATCTTTGAAAGCTATAGCTCAGGCATGTTATTTCTCCAGTTAAAAAAAAAACCCAAACAATTAAAAAAAACCCCACCCTATGTAGCACTAGAGGAAGTTCCAGGTACCCTGATTTTTAAGTTTTTGATCAACCTGGTACTGCTGAGTCCCAAAATCTCCCTACAGGCATCTAGCTGAGGTGCAGTAACACAGAGAAAATGATGTTGGCACCATCACTGAGGATACCTGCCTGCATATTCCGGCAGAGGCAACCAAGCACATGGCTCTGTCCTTAACCTGCCATCACTCCAGCAAATCCCAAAACACCCAGAGTACAATTACAGGAAAAGAATTATACAGCTGTTAAGGGATGAGTCAACTTTATTTTGGCTTTCTGCTTGTCAATAGGTTTTGGGTTTGCCAGGCTTTTCGTCTTCTAAATGGTTTAGCAAGAATTGAGCTGAATGTTCATTCCTTTGACCTGAAAATTCAGACACTAAAAATGAAGTGTAATGCAGTACACATGCACTTTATGAGGCTTAGCAAAGCAGAAGAAATACTGGGTTTTTTTTCGAGGTGGATGGTTTTTGCAGAAAGCTAATGTTGAAAACACTGGTGTGTCTAGCGATGGATATTGTGCTCCTGCTGCTCTGTCCATCTGCTTACCATTGACTTCCAAATAGCTACTAAATGCAGCATTTTTCTCTTATATGTCTCGGATAGAAGCTTACTTTTAAATCTCATTTTAGAGACAATTTTATCTGGAGATAAAAGCACTGTATTTATAAATGTGTTGGAAATGAGACCCTTTCTAGGAAGATGCATTTCAAACCCCTTGGATGTCTATTTCATGCTGAATAAAAAGAAAAATATATCCCACGTCTATCTGTAATCCAGTAAATATCTATTTGCCCACAAACTCAAGGGGTTCTCAGATTTCATTAAAGTAACTGTTTCATACTATATATTTCCTACTAAAAGAATTCAGTGTTTCTTTAAATGTGCGTTCAGGATGTCCTGAACACTTACCCACTGACTTCTTTTTTTGCACCACTAGAAAAAACAGGAGTTTGATCTGTGAAAATCTTATTAAAAACATTCTCTAGCTTTGCTCTAATCCAGCAATTGCAAGCAAGGTTCTCCCAGCTAGTATTGATGACTAAGATGCTGCATTTTGGGGGAAATAAGGTAATAATTTTGCTGATTTCAAACCTATGTCCCTTGCAGCTTTACAGAGTAGAAATGCCATACATGCTTTTTAAAAAGATAGTCTGTGCTTTCCTCAAGAGGTCTAAGGCTTGCTTGTTTGTATACTTAGAATAAGAAAGTTGTCTGTGGTACTTAATGATATCATGAGGATTTGAACAGCATTAAAGTCAGTATAGAAGCAAATATCCAATTGTCCTTCAAACTAAGGGACACTTCAGTGCTTTCAGGATTTCTGGGACTGGCATTTCTAAAGGCATTAGGTTTCCAGTGCCCTTTTGTGTTCTGATTTTGAAAATCTCTTGCCATAGCAAACCTGAACGTTCTTCCGTTTAAGCACAGCTTGGCATGTGTGCATTAGCATCAGCCATGGCTTTGGCTGCCCTGTATTTCAAGGTAGGACACATCTAGGAGGCGAGGACATTCTTTTGAAATAAGACTCATCCAGATTATTTGAGGCTAAAATATGGCATTTGAAGGAATAACTGGAATAACTTTCTAATCATTCTCTGCTAAAATCTGGCACGTAGGCTGAAGCATGGTTTCTCAGCCAGAATAATCTAGAGAATGGTATTTCAACAAGGCTGTGCTCAGAAGAGTTTTAAGCTAAAAGTCAGCATAGATCCACCTCTAGAGTGAGACACATTTGCATCTGAGACTCAGTGAAACGCAGTCTGTTAGACCATGCTTTCCAAACTACATCACTCCAGAGTTCAAGGTCTAGCATTCTTCTGAAATTTCCATTAACTACTCATCTTCACCCTTCGGTCCTGAAATATCTTCAACAGTCTGGCTTTAAGTGCTTTGCTGGAACAGTGTCAATGCTAAACGTATACACCGTTTTCAAATGCAACTATAATTCTGTTCTCAAATGTTCCTTTCCAAACCAATTTGCAACTCAATTAGATTCTGGCTAATTCATATTTAAGCTAAGTTTTCAGGGGGAAAAAAGACCCAAACCAGTTAAAAATTATTGGGATTTGTCCAATGAAAATATTGTTTTGGCATGCCAATGGGGAATAATGAGAGATTTGGTCATAGAAGGATTTGTTTTTAAAATATTTAATCATTTTGGGCTTCTTTTTGTACTCATATGCTGTGACTTATAAGAGATCATATCTATAGTTTGTTCTGTGCTAAGTGACTATTTCAATATTTCTGTCACTTTTAATGCAAAGCTATGAGGAGGCAAATATTGCAAATGGCCAAGCCATACTGTACCCCTCCACTTCTGCTCATAGTTGTGCCCTTGAATTAAGTGCTTGTTTGCACACAAAACTACCAGATTTGAAGAAGGCAGATTTGGAAGTTCCTTCTAGTCTTAAAAAACTAATAATTGTTATATATATATGTATACATATATACGGATACACACAAGGACATATATATATATATGAGGAAGAGAGAGAACCAGCTGAAAGATAATTAAGCCAGACCCATTTTCACCTTGGTAACTAATGAAGATCTACTGTAAGTAGGTCAACTATGCTGTTACATGCTTTAAACTGGCATTAGACTGCTCAGACCTTGGCTTCAGGAATTCTTCCTCCCCTCCCACCCCTTTCTAACCTTTCCTCCCCTTTCACTGCATCTCCCCCCATCTTCTTACAGTCAAACCCCATAGGCATATACTCAAGCATAGCTCCCATTCACCTGAACGATAATATTCTGGGAATGAGGACTTGGTGGGGACCACAAGATTTAGGTCTTCTGTGGCTCCTCAGTTACCTCTGACCCTCTTGGAGAAAGAATTACCCACCTGCTTGCTGTTTATAGCAGTGAGGGTTTAAGGAAACCCAACAATTGCTTGAAAAGAAAATGAAGCTAATAAATTACACGGATTAAACCAGCCTGTAAGTTCTCTGATTTTATGTTTTGACCTTCTTTCAGTTATTACCTTTTTCATCAACAGTTTTTCAGTAGGAGTACACTGGATTTATGCATTTGTCTTTGCAAGCGTACCCCAGACTAGGAGAAGCTGAAAATTTACTCCATGTTCTCATCCTTCTGAGGTGGCGCAATTTCACAAGGCCATTTTTCTCACCTTTCATAATTTTTGACACATTCACAAATCAAAGTGGAAACGAACAGGGCACTGCGTTTGGAATGTGCAGCACAGCTTGCATCTGCACACAAGCTTTCACACAGGCAGTCACTCAAAAACAGTGTTAGGGACTAATACCAGCAAAAGCCGAGAAGGGCAAAGGTTGCATCTATTTGCATGGGAAGGTTATAGCAGACCATGTGTTTTTCTCCCTGGTCCCTGCCATGCTCAGGGGCCTTTGTGACTCTGTTGCCTCAGTGCCATCTCTGAAATTTGCAGTGAGGACCAGGCAGAGGTTTTTAGGGGCTCGCACTTCATCCTGCTGGAGAGGGCAAGGGAGCTTCAAGTGGATTTATCCATCTGCCATTTATGCTGGGGACATCACATATATGCTGCTGTCATCTCTTCCTGTGCCCAAGGAGACCCACCTTTGGATAGGACAGATGCTGCAGCAAACAGCTGCCGCCTTGGTGGTCTGCACCTGCAGTACCTGCTCCATGTCAGGAGGAATTTTGGGCTTTTCCAGAATTAAAGGGTGCCAGGAGATATGATTCAGTTATCTCTTCTGCTTTTCCTTTCTCTGCCTCTTGATAAGCCCATCTTACAAGAGTCAACTTTTTAAGTATATACATAATTACTGCTACCGCTGTAGTTAAAATTGCTGCTGTCTGGCTAATGCTCCAGCTAAGAAGTGCTCAAGTTTGCTGAAAGGATTTTTTGTCTGTGAGGGTGAAACCGTGTTGATTTAAAAATTTCTCTTTCAGAAATCCTTTGCTAATCTCCCAATGGCTTTCACCAATGAGCTTGACTGGCCCCAGTTCTCAGAGATCACTGGATTTCTGAACTCCACCATCGGGTAAGCCAACAGGCGGGGTGGCCAAGTCACGGCAAGTCTCAAGGTCCCTCAAAGCACAGCAAGAAAAAACAAAAAACAGTGCTTGAAAAGAAGGATAAAAACACTAGTTAGCTCTGCTTCTGCTCTTTCTAAAATCAAGATTGACACTGGATCTAGGGATTTTTAAAAATCTTTTAAATATATGGAAAATGCATGATACTCTAGCCCAGTCTTCCTGAAATTCAGGGTAGGTTTTAGAGCTGATCAAATTGTAATTTAGAAGGCAAAATGAAGAAATAAAAACCAAACTCACTTTTTCGGGGACCATTGCTGAAACTAACAAAAATCAGCATTTTCCTTGTCTTAGTTTTTTTTTTTTCTCTTCCCCTCTTCCTCCTGTTTCCTTTTCGCTGCTGAAACAGTGGAATAAATGGTAACCCCAAGGTTATTTCATGGTGTTCCCTTTTTTGGGCAATCTTCCCCCCCACATTTAGAGGGAAGTAGCAAAAGAAGAATTTGGAAGCGCCTGTGACCTAATTTGCTGTGTTACATTGGCTCATGTGGATGGGGAAGGATACAGGGATAGATGGAAAAAAAGAAGTCTCTGCCAGAAGGGAAGGAAAATAGAGTCCAAACACAAAGAAAACACCTTGAAATGCCTGCAGTTTTAACTGTGAAGTTAAAAAAAAAAAAATCATAATTTTGTTAATCATCTTTCTGGCCAGCATTAAGAGGCCCTAGACTCCTGCCAGAACTGAAGGATACAATCATCAGCAGTGCCTGGTCTGGCCTGAGTTTCAGATAATTTTTATTTTATATGTCTAAGATAGGTCATGAATACAGTGAAATGCCAAACCAAGCATGAGTCAAGCCTAAAGAGGCTCTCTACCAACAGAATTAAAAAGTTGGCAGAATATATTCTTTTCCAGGAAAAATATCTGTTGCGCCATACGCTTGTACTTTTTGCTTCCTTTTTCCTCCCTGCGCAAAAACCAGGCTCCCAGCCTCAGCTATATTCACACAGTGTATGCTTTAAGGTGGTATGCTACTTGGCAAGCCAACAGAGAAGATCTACGCAGCCTCCTCTTTCAGAGCCAGCAGCAAAACTGACCTTTAAAAATCTGTTACAATGTCCAGCTACTCAATACACGGTATTTAACTGGGCTCCAAAGAATCTGAAGTTTACAAATGATTAGAGCTTAGTATTGACCCTGAAATTGCAGTCATAGGCCTTGATTCAGTGTTCAGTTTTTAATCTCTTTTTTAATCTCTTCCACATCTGGAAGGAAAAAAAAGAAGGACTGTTTGGGACTTCAAAGCATTTTTAAGAGAAGTAGCTCAAAATCCCACACCACAGTGACTAAGTGTGGTGGAGACTGGTTGGCAATGTGCAGTGGGAGGCTCCCATTTACTCCGAGCCTGCAGAAACAGAGACACAAACTTAGGCAGTCTGCGCCCATCTTTCCCACCCCCTGATGGGTGAACAGGGACACTGCTTTTTAATTAATATCCTCTGACCGAGAAAGTCTGTTTTCTTCTCCTCGTTCGCCTGCTTGCTATGTTGAAAATCAAAGAGCTTGGGCGTTTCTTGTGTAGCCCATTGCATGGTGACTGCTTGATGTTATAATGTGTTTATATGTAGGTAGTTACTTTTTATTGCTGGTTTCAGAACTTACTGTTGTCTTCTGTTTCTCTGCATTCATCCAGGTTTGCTGGTTTTAAGCCATGGTATTTAAGTTATTTGATTCCTTCAGTGTCTAAGTTCAAATACAAAATCAGCAGCCCTGATAGAGATGACCATGTACTTGTGGCAGGGAGTGTGGTCTTCTCATCAGCTTCCCTTTGGGCTGTTATCCTTTTCATTTGCATTTTCATTTTTCTCAACAGTGCAAAGTAAAGGAGAGAACTAATCACAATCAAGCATAACCTGTTTTCAGATCAATCCATCCAAGATTTATGGCATTGGGAAATGAATGCCCTGCCAATATTTCTCTTTTATTTACTGTTCCATAACAACCAGTTGAAAAGTCAGTTAGTGAGCAATCAACAGGATTGTTTTGATAAATGATGTATGACAAAAAGGTTTTTAAACACCTTATCTGAAAGACCAGGATAAAAGCATCCTGGATGGAAAAATTTCAAAGAAACTCTCCATCAATTTATAGTTTCTGAGAGGATATCTTGGCTTCCATTTTAGGCCACCCTGTTTAAGGTGAAAAAGATTTATGACCACAAAAAAGAGACATGGTGAAATAGAAATATATACATAACTGGGGCACAGAGTTGTTTAGAGACAAGAACATACTTAATTTCTAATATCAGCTGTGTTTTCATCAGTATCACATGAGTTTAACAGCTTGCATTTTCTGAATTTATTTCAGAGGCTGGACAGACTCCCTGTATCTACGTTTACGCAGGAGAAATCGCTGTAATCACAGAGATTTACAGAACATTTCCCAAAATGGTATGTTAAGTTTTTTCACTTTTTTTTTTTTTTAACCTTACTAGTCTGATACATGATGCTGCATTAATGAACATCTTTCAGAAACAAAGAGAAACCCCTTCCTAATTACATGTGTTTCTTATGGAAAAATAGACAACAGCACTTACTTAACTCAGCATCTTTTCTTCTGGCTCTGAGTAGGGAGGTGTGTGGCTTGATGGCTTTTATCCACGCACTGACTAAGAATGTCCACTGGGCTAAAAACCAGTGTACCCCACTGTAAGTCTATGGGGGATTTTTTTGACCATAGCCAAAAGGGGGAGGATTTAGAGGGATGACGCTAGTGGTGATGGAACTAGAAGGTCTGCCCTCCATCTCATGTGGAGGCTGTGGCGTGGTCCCTTCTTGCTTGCACCCACCTGCTGCAGGGGATGCCAGGAGGGCCCTACAGTGCACCCCACGGTAGCACAGGGGACTCACAGGGCTGCCACACCAGCAGGCAGAGTGGGTACAAACCAGTCATCAGTCTCATAGCAAGGGTGTCCAGTTCATCTCAGTACCTGATACCCTATTACCTTGTTCTACTCTCTTTATGTTAATGGGTGTTGTACTTTCTTCTCTTCCTTTTTCCCAATTTCCTCATAGACTTTTAAAAAAAAAAAAAAATCTCTTACTGTGTGCATCGTTCCTTTTTCTCTCCACGTATCTCCTTTCCACTTACACTACAGACACCTGCAGGATATAAAAGGAGGTGAGCCTGTGTCAGGGCAAAAGACTCTGAAGAAAATTGAGAAGGGAATTTCAAAAAGGGAAAAATTACAAGTGATAGAAAAATCCCAGGATATCTTCCCTCAGAATCTTCTCTTAATCATCGCACTGACACCACATTGTAAAGGTTCACTTTTATTGCCTCACTTGGCATAATAGTTTCCCCGAATGGGAGGATTTAAATGGCCGCTCTCAGTGTCAGTAAAGCAAAAAGCCGGCCACCAACCTGACCTAGCCCCACCTGGGACAGCTTAACCTTCCTCTGGAAATGATGCTTCACCCCCACATATATGCAATGAGAGGACAAGACACTAGAGAGGTGGTTCTGATGGGAGAGGCGTGCAGCCAAGAGCCAGAGCCCAGGGATGGCAAGTCAAACCGGGGACCAAGAGCAATGCTCGTCTCCAGTCCCCTACAGAAGCACCAGCACTGAGTCAGAGCTCAGCACGGAGGGACTTTCCCCCATTGCCCTTCTTGGGACGTACATCTTCACCCTGGAGAAAGGCTTCCCCAACCTCTGTCGTAGCGGGATTTCTGCCTTCCCTTTCTTAAAGAATGCCATTATCCCCTCGAGATGGTGGACTCTTCCCTCCTCTGCAGTTGGCTGCTGGATAGGGTGCTCATCCAGGGCCAGGGAGGATGCCCCTCAGCTCTCCATATACGTTACCTATGGCCCATGAATATATGCACATCAGAATTGCTGACATTCATTTTGGGCTACCAGCTTTGCTCACGGGGCATGCCAGAAGACACTTGGTGTGTGAGATATAGGTTAGTAATTCGTCACAAATCTGTTTTATTCCACTGTTACTGCTTTCAGCTTGTGGTTACACAAGAAGCATCTCACAGTACTAATCAATGTTTTCCATCAAAGTGGCTTGCTTAACAGTTTTCTACGGATAATTTTTATTGGTTCATTGTTTTCAATATGCTTTTGGTGTCTTGCCTTCCAGCAGCTTCACACAGGTTTTAGGGCATGTGCTATTTCTGGTTTTTGACTGGGTGAGTGGGACCCTCAGGTGTGAGGGCTGGGCATGAATGCTGACATGTGGAATTAGAAAGTTCTTCTAAATATTCTCCAGCACTTGTTGAAGATCCCATGTTTTGATAGAAGCATCCTGATAGTAAAATCAGTTGCTAAAATATTCCAAAAAATGGTTAGATAAACATGGGGAAAGGGAATACCCTCAGAATTTCTAAATAATGGCAGAACAATATTGCGATTGTCATCCATGTTTTGCATGAGATATGTGGATAATGTATGCTATTTCAAAACACGGGTATTGTATATTCCTTTGCTATTTGTAGTCTGATCTGTCTCTTTGGGTTTCTTGCCTTTGACCAGAAAAATTAGGCCTTGTTAACACATGCTGTGGCTCACTGAGCCATCAAGCACCAGATATCTCACATTGGCTTGAAAACCAGTTAAGAGATAATTTTTTCTTTTTTTCCTTCATCTGTCTTGGAAATTCTAGTCTACCTAGAGTTAATTTGGGGAAAACCAGAGACTTTTTCTTTGCACGTTTACATTTCCAATTGCTTTTACAGCATAAGGGAGAAAAAGATTAGAAGTCAATAAGCCATTCTTGTCCATGCAGCACTTTTGGTGCTATCTGGACCCAGACTCTTTCTGTGCACATTTGTGCTGCCTCCTATCAGCCACACAAGGTCTAAGAGCAAGAAAACCAAGAAGTGCAGCTCAAGTATTCCAAGGCTTATGAAATTTGGGGTTACTCACAAGTGGAAGCAAACCCAACCCTGACTCCTCAACCAAAACTAAAAAACCCTACCTGTCTGAAAATGTTTGGAAAGCAACAGACAAGGGGGCAGGAGAGATCCAGGAATAGCTGCCAGGACATTCAGCAGGGTAAGGGTAACTGTTCTGTCTCATCTCTTTTTCTCGCTTGGATGTTTTCATCACAGATTACATCCTGTATCACAAAAAATTCTTTGAAGATTCAATTTACACATGAAAACAGTTCTCTAAAAAATCCCTTCATTTTCTTGATGTTTTTACTTGATTTGTAACTGTGCTAATGCTTTCCACAGAGCTGCTTATAACTACCTACACTTGCAGCGGTAATACATACTCAAGAACAGCTTCTTACTTTTTTGTAAATACATTTTTAATGTCTAAATATCCCAATAGTTTATTTGTGCTGGAACTGCAGCTCCAGTCTGGGGAGCCATGCGGTAGAATGGCTTAACAGAGGGGTGTTGAACTCTAGCTGAAAGAAGGGCTACTAAACAGAAAAAAATCAACTCATGGTAGTTATGTTCCAAGCAATATTTTCTAAGGATTTTGTGGGGCTCTTATTCTGTTGAAAAGAGCTTCTCAACAGAAGGGCTGGAGTTTGAATGGACCAGCAACCCTCAGGAGAGAAGCAGCAGAGAGATACATTCATTTTTAGCTTGGAAGAACTGGATTATTTAAAACATAAAGGATTCCTTGATATATGCGGTTGGCATCACTGTGAGTGATAGTAACAAAGCCACCACTATTAAAATGCAAAGTGTATTATTGCTACCTTAGGGGTTTATCTCTTAGATCTTTCCCCTGTACCAATGCAGCAGGGATTTAATGATGTTCTGTCCACAAGTTTCGCCCCAAGAGCTGCGGGGAGGAGAGGATTTGCTCCTCAAAGCAAGCTTCAGAGGCACAATGCAGAAAAGAGGAGAAGAGAGAGAGAACAGGGAAGAGCTGAGCGAAGAATAAAGGGCATGTAATACAAGAGGAGAAGGAGCAAGAAAAAAGGAGAAATTGAAAGTACTGCAAAATAAAAGCAAGTACAACTTGTAGGGCCTGCTTCTCTGAAGTTTATTTTTCTGTTCATTGCTGTGAGGAGAGCTTCTTGCAATCACAGTCCTAGTCTGATCTTGAACAAAGCATAAAGCCTTTGTTGGCTCCTCGTCTGCTACCACTCTTGCACTGCAGGTGACAGAGTTTGATTTGTGTGTTGTGGATAGTTGGGATGTGTATGCATAGCCTTTAAAGACAGGCTAGCAAGTTTTATACATAAAAGCTTTCCTAATTGGGAATGCTTTTCTCATTCAAGACATAAATGAAAGATTATAAACGCTCACAGGTGCTTAGGTGTAGCTAGCTCTTTTCCTGGAGGAGGAAAGATTTGAATCCAACCATTTGGGTGAATTGCCATTGAAATGCAGAGCTTCTTGGGTGCAGCTGGCCTACTACTATTTTTCATAAGTCTGCCACTCATGGGGAGAGCAATGCAGACACCCAGATGTTGGTGTCTAGTGCTATTTAAGATGCTTTACAGTATCTTTCCCACTTTCAGCTGCCTCTCCAGAAGTGCACAATCTCTCAGGCATCCTGTATTGTATCTGCCAGCCCTGCTGCAGGTGTCTTGAATACTCTGGGATGTCAAAAATGGCACTTGGTGCCTATGTTTAGGACCTGAATCCGTCCCAATGTGGTATAGCTGTGAGACGCTTACTCTCTCAGAAGAGTGAGAACAGTTCCTTTTGCAATTTATAGGGAAAGTTAAAAGTAGATCGACTGCTGACAATTCAGGTTGGCTGGTTTACAGAAGACTACTATGTTCAACAGATGGGAAGAAGATGTCAGATATGGATTAAAAGCCAGATCCAAACAACCCAGCACTTAAAAGTATTTGATTTTCTATAGTCTGAAGTGTGGGACTCGGGTAAGAGGAAGCAGGTCCCTGGATACAGCTTTACTTCCTAATGCCAGCACCCAAAAAGGTTACAGAGATGACTTTTTTCTCATTTTTATTTTTAATACTTCTACATTCTTGGAAATATGCAATGAAGTTGGGGTTTGCACTTCATTTTGTTTGTCACTATAACAATGTTGTACTATTTCTCTTATTCCCACTATGTGTGATCAGGTGGTTCTTCAGGAAACCTCCTCTATTTAATAAAAAGGTGAGTGTTTAAAGGGATTACAATGCTGACTGGGGGTACAGAAGTGTTGCTGGAGTCCTACTTCTTCGAAAGAAACAAGCAAAGCACCGTAAGGAATGTATTATCCACAAATGTCCTAAAAAGCGCAGCTTCCCTTGGCCACTGTGTTCTGAAGTGCTGGCTGTTTCTTCTTTGGTATAAACATTCATCAACAGAAGAAAAACTGTTTTAAAGTGTGGATGTCACCATCTCCAGGGCCTTGATCTTGGCCCAGTTAAGCCAATGGAGCATTTCCAGTGATTTCGGGGACGAGACTAAGCCTTTCCCTAAATCTGTGCTTTCTGTCCCCCTAACTGCGTTACTCCTGATTTGTAGCAATGTAGATAGACATGGGCAGGTCCACTGTGTTGTCTCCATATGGATATGATTGAGTAGCTACTGGATAATGAGAGGCAGCAACTCTCCTTTTCAGAGGAATTTGGGTGGGCTATGGGGCAGTTGGGTTTGATTTAGTTTGCTTGATGCTGATATAGTTCACATCTCTAAGGGATTTATTGTTTTCTCCTCCAGAAAAAGTAGTAATGAATCCTTGCCCTCTAGCACTGAGACCAGTCCTACACATAAACTTAGTTGTCAGCCAACCATAGTCATCTTCTCCCATCTCTGGTTAAAAACTTCCCATCTTGATTTATGTCTTTGCCCCAAAATGAAATTACTGAAAATTTACTAAAATATAAAACTATAGGGGGGGAAAAAAAAACCAACCCAAACCTCTCCCAAACATAGAAGCATAGTCATCTGAGCATTGGTCAAATCTAAATGAGCTAATTCAAAATGTGATCTCATACAAGCATGGTGCGTGATTCAGACACCGAGAACGTATTTCCCCATTAATAGAGTTGCGTATTTATCTTTTAGCTTGGCCAGAAACCAGCTGTTGGACAATCCAGCCATAGTTGTCTACGCTACAATTGGGAATGATGTCTGCAATGGGTAAGGTGTAAACCTAATTAACATTTATAGTATCATAAATTTGACTTCTTTAGAGAAGCTGGCTGCTTGGACATTTATGTCTCATTGCTTTGCACTTCCCTGTGATGGCATTTTTCTTTGGTATTGGTCTGTGCTTCATTCTTATTTTTCTGCTGAAAATACTGGTTGCTACCTTACCTGTATTTGTCATAGCCACCTACCAGTCCTTATTCAGAGCTTGTCTCTCTTTCTTTCTTTTACAAGCCGGTGATAAAGTAACCAATGGCATGTCCGAAGTCAAGCATTTCTAACTTAGTAAATAAAGTGAAGTATAACAACAACAGGAGAGGAAAACCAAGAGTTTAAAAGCATGTATATCCATCTTACCCAGTGTGTCACCTCCTGTCAGGAGGTAGACTGTGACTGGTTTACCTTGTCTGAAGAATGACAACATAGTCCCCTGTTGAGGTGTATTTCCACCCTGCCTCTGCTGCACACTGCCTGCAGTCTTTGCTGTACTCCCCTGACATGGTGTTTTGTCTTTCCGTCTATACTTGTGTCATAAGCTCAGCAGGAGAATGAACTGAAGATTTCAAAACTAATAATTCTGGCATTATCCATTAGCAATGCTCACAGGGATGCCAAGAGGTCACTAATTGGATGCTTCCCTTCCTCCTGGTAGTGGGAAGGCAGAAAACACTGTGCAACCAGGCCAATGCACAGCACATCCATACAGCAGGTTTGTTTTTGCAGGTGGTCCAAGTGCTGTTGTTAGGGTAACATTATTTTCACCGTGATGAATCTTCAGGTTTTCTTTTAAGCAGAAGAAACAAATCTGATTTATGTGGAGACTTTCAAAACACTCATTTAATAAATGACGCATGCTCAGCTAAGTGCCTTTCCGAAGCTTTTGAAAGGTCTCACCTGCAGGTTGTGTGATGAAGTTGGACCTATTATGCAGGCTGTCAGACCTTACCATTGAAATATCCTGGGTGTGGTATCCTAAAACTTTGCTTAACAGCAAGCGCTTGGGTTGAAACTTTGCACATCGGGTGTTGTGCTCCAGATGGGGATGGCCAAAGGCCAGGTAGGGCTTTCCCTGCCACTGCAGCACCTGGGAGCCCTCAGCCAGGGCAGAAGTGGGACCACAGGGGCCATCTTTTAGGTCCTTCCCTGGCACCACCATCTCCCTGGTGATGCCTCATGCAGGCAGCACGCAGAAATAACCTCCCATGAAACCTTCACCCTTGGAATCTCCCTCTGATGCTCATGCCCTCTCTGCAACTCTGCCAAATCTGCCCTCAGCACCACCCTCCTGTTACGGAAAGGATGCACAAATCCTTAAAAGTAACACCACCACCCTTCAACTGAGTGGGAAAAGCAGTTACTCCTGCTACTTGCTGACAAGACTCTCCTGGGCATCTGTTTATTGAGAAGCTCATGGAGGTATCATTACAACCACCCCCAGGATGCCAAGCACCCCCCCTCCCCAATAGCACCTTTGCTGAAGTCCATGGCTCCTGCCGCAGGGACTTTCAGGGTGTCTTCTCCCAGGCTTGGCCCAGGCTCTGTTACGTACATATTTCAATTCTGCTGTTTCACTGGCTTTGCTAAAAGCACCTCTTTTTCCTTTGTTTTATTCCTCATTCTCCAGGTTACTCCTTTCGCTTCCCCTGTCTCTAACACTGCTTTCTAGCCTTGCTTGAAGTAAAAAGAAATTTTCCACAAACGTAAACCATTTTGGCCTTGCCTCATCCATTTGTATGTTACAAAACAGTATTTATTACTTGAAACTGCTGTCTTTTTATCCCAGCATCCATTACCTGGCAGAGACACTTTTGTCTGCTCAAATTCTCTCTACTGTCTGTTTTATTCTGAAACATTTGCAGCATCAAGAGAGGCTATCAGGCTGTAGTGATCCCTGTGAGTTCAGCAAGGAAAGATGCTGCAGCGTCTGTAGCAACATGCTGTTTCCATGCTTTTCCATTGAATGGGACGTACAACAGTGATTTTTTTTTTTTTTTTTTTTTTTTTTTTTTTTTTTGGTGCCCGGTCACTGTGTGTATCTGCCCTGGCTCTGATGTACCCACAGAGGTTACAGTGGATGCAGAGCATCCGATGGGCTTGACTTCAAACCTAGGGCTTGACAAATAAAAACCTCTTCAAGGACATCTTTAAACTGCAGTAATAGAGTCTTTCTGGCCGTATCCTGTATTTTACCTTCAAAAGAGAGCAGTGTGCTGAGCGCTCCAGAGACACAGCTCTTAGCCAAAGCATTGTTAAAATGCCAATATTGCATCCCATGCGAAGAGCAGGGCAATGAGTAATATGGATGTTTGTAGAGAAGAAAGATAATGAAACTGGCAGCCTGTGTTACACGTTCCCAGTAGTCTCCACACTGTGGTGTCCAAACAGGGGGGTTAGAAAAATAAAGACAGATGGCAATGGTATCTCTCAGCCCACTGAGGTGTAAATGTGGGACACAATGTGGGACACACAGACGTCGAACAAAAAAAAATTCAGACAAGAAAATAATGAGCACCAGCAGTCTCAAATGCTGTACAATTATTGCACGTATTAGTTTGGGGGTAAGGCACCGTTTCTCCAGCCTCTCTCTCCCAGTTTTGCAGTTATGGCATCTGCAACAAACAGAAAGGTGACAGCAGCAAAGCGGGGTGAGCAGAGGAGAGCTGGAAAAGCTTCGCACAGATTGCACAAGGCTGTCTGGTCCCTCTGTGTTATATGTGTGCACAGCTAGGGTATCCGTAGTGTTAGGACATCCAGGAACTGCGTGCACATCCAAGGCTGTGTATTTGTGTATTGTAGGGGGCGGGGCAGGGAGTGCTCCCTGAAATACCCAGATCCAATGCAGCAAGAATCCTAACATTAACATCCCCTTGCTATGCTCTGACACAATGAACAGTGGCCAACATCAGCTTCCAGACATCCCAGGTGGGCAGAGGCTATCACTGGCTGGGGCCTCTCAGGGGGACCATGAGAGGGTACCACAGCTGCCCCCGGTGCTCACCCAGGCACCTTGAAGTCCTTACGGCAGAGCCCAGAATGAACGTGCCTACAAGGCTTGCTTCTCGGTGGGTGTGGGGGACCATGAGAGGGTACCACAGCTGCCCCCGGTGCTCACCCAGGCACCTTGAAGTCCTTACGGCAGAGCCCAGAATGAACGTGCCTACAAGGCTTGCTTCTCGGTGGGTGTTAATTTCATAGCCTGGCACAGAAAGGAAATGTGAAGAAAGGCACTGAAATACCTGCATGACTTCAGTGGAGAATGACAAGAGAAAGGGGAGTTATGAATGTCATATTAATTTCGGCTCACACTGACGTGTTTACTTGTGGTAGAGGCCTTACATCAGAGCAGTATTTTGAAATCAAGTGCTGCAACACCTGTAGGCGAAATGAAGTAATTTAAGGGCAAAACCACAGTCTTATCTCAAAAGTACCTTGCTTGGGTGGCTGTCACAAGGATAAACCTGAATCTTAACGCTGTTTTTCAGTTCTCCCTAGCCAGAAAGTCTCAAACGGCTCA